GGAGCACCATTAACAGGGTGAGTAATCGCTTGTGTTGGTAATGAAACAGACAGCTGTACAGTAGCCACCAAACAAATCCATAACACATCTACAGGCAATACTGCAGTCAACTCTCAGGACACGCTGGTTCCGTGAGGTGGAGGGTGTCGTAGCTTTGATCTATAGAGAAGACGGTGACGGCAAAGACAAGATAATGTGAGAATCTCAAAGGAAAACATGCGTACCAAAGCATGGCAACGCAGAGACTTGATATCTTGGCACCAGCGAACAAGACATGTAATGACACAAATCACACTTACCGTAGTCTATAATTACACATAAAGCTGATTGATATCATCTCAGTAAACAGGAACAAAACAAACAAGCAAAACTCGTCTTCAAAGCCCAGCTCGACCAAAGATGTGTTAATGATACCTTACTTACTGAACCAATAGCAAAGCTGGAAGAACGTTAGGTTGAATCTCAAAAGCTCCCAAACCATCCGACTGTTGTGCCATTTCCACTTTTTGAAAAGAAATGTGAAACTCTTGCTTAATTAATAATAAAGAAATAACCTAATTTGCTCTCCTGCTAAAAAGAATCACTTAAATAGAAAATCTGCAGCATGAGCCAACCGATAACTAGCCGTAGCCGAGCATAAATACTAGAAATGGCTACGATGGTTCTGTAAAATAAAAATCCACCTGATAGCAATGCTAAAACTCACTAATTAAGATGTTTATTGTCACGTGTTCAATTAAACAAAAACCAAAGCAACAGTTATTGAACATTGAAGGTACCTGCTAGCCGCTATCAAAGCTATCCTCTTGTAGATTGTAAACCGCCATTTTTTTCCCCACAGACTAAATAAACAAGGTATTGTGACCGTATTGTTTTGATTTTTATTTATTAGATCTGGTAGGTGGATACGATCAGCTTTGGACTAAAGGCAAGCAAGCCAATGCACCATTATTGCTAGATTTTTATGCTAAGCTAACAGGCTGCAGGCTAAAACTACACAAGTGAACAAGTTTATTTCTAACAATTATGAAATATTATTTGGGGACTTCGTTATTTTTTTTTTTTTTGTTTTACCTGAGGAGGAAATAACTTTTGTACAGCAGCCACTTTACATCAAGCAGCATTTATGTAGTCGTAACAGCTGTGCTCACCTTTTTTTTTATTGACAAAATGGCTTCACTGGTTTGGTGGCTTACACTGCCCTAAAGAGCAGCTTAATATTTGTCTGAAGTCTTAGTAAAGGCCAGCATTTGAGACGTAGGAGTTATTCAGGCAGCGTTATTAAGACGATCAACATTGTGTTTGCTTTCTCAGGCATTAGGTGGAGTCAAAAGGCTCAAGCATGACTTTTGCTAATCTGTCCGTACACGCCTCCACCCACGTGTGCATTTTTTTGGTCGAAGGCAGATATTCAAGGATTGCAAAGGCTCAGTGAACCATCTGTGTGTTTCTGTCCTCTGGCTGATAGACAGGTGGAAGTAACCGACATTAGCAGAGGATCTTTCATAATTTAGGTTTCTATGGAACTTAAAACGGGGGAAAAGAGAACCAAGATGGCACCAGGAAGTATTTGGTCGAAACTGGTGTCAGCTTGGCAGCAAACTGAAACGAGGGATCAGGTTTATCACAAAAAACCTACATCGAAAAAAGTGTGGCAGACACAACACAGTCACACACACTTGGGGGGAATAAACACAGACGTGTAGTCATAAGCAGATGAGCGTTATGGTGACAACGCTGTCGGCACAGCGGCGTTAGTAAGACACACAACATGCTGTACACACCTAGGACAAGCATTAAACTACATCAGGATATCCAGCCAGTGACAGACAGGATTAAACGCAATGAAAAGTCCGTCTGCGTCAAGTCTGGGGAGTGAAGAGTCTTTATCTTTAATTCTAATTTGCTGGATTGTAATGAAAAAACTCTTCACTGCTGTGCAAAGCGTCAGTTTTAGTAAATTGGTCTGAAACTCTTCAGCTTGTGGAAAATTGTCCTCAGTATCTCAGAGGAGCTGATAATCTGAGTTTCCTTCAGACGTAAATGAAAAATCCACAAGAAGAGTCTGGTTTTTGGTTCATCACTTTTATTACAACAAATCGATGGAAACTCACGGCCGCTGACGTACGTTCTTGCTTGTAACGTCTCAGGCCTCCATGCTGTCATAAAACCAACACGACAAAGCTGGTCTGACAACTGGATGCCACAACTTCCTGTCAGCAACTGCAGAGTGGTCTAACTGGGTTGCAGTGACTTTAATACTGGCGGGGAGCTCGTCACATCTGCTGAGGTCTCCAGCTGCTGAGACAGAAGGAAAGACCATTTTTACCCCCTTAATATATAAAACAATTAAAGACACTGAGTCAAACTGAGGAAGAAAATGTTAGAAATTGAGCAAATTCTAAGAAATCGACGTGATATAAAGGTGTACAAATCATGTTAATACATATTAGAATTATTGTAGGTTAAAGAAAGAGAAAAGAAATAATTAGAAATGAAACTCAGACATTCTATTAGACTGAATCAAACTTACATTAAAAAACACAAACTTAAGGAATCACATTGCTTCACTTCGCAAGGTTGGATCAACTTTATCACACCGCAGACCTGCAGTTGCATAACTGCAGTGGCAATTATACTTTGCAGTCACATTTAGAGACAAAGAAACACCTGTGATATGATCATAAGCATTTGGGATTTGAATATAAACTGCTGTGAAATGGGACCACAGAAGAAATCGACACACGGATCAGGATGAGGTTCTGGCTTTAGTCATTAAGGAACCAGAGTTTCATACATCTGATCACTAACATCTGAGTTTTATTTTTCCTGTTTACAAGTTATGTCTGTGGTATAAATGAGGCTGAGCCAACCTGCAAAGTAAAGTGATTTGGTTCCTTGGCAAAAAAACAAAACCCTATTTATATTCACTTTGATGAAGATTTGACTTCTCGTCTTGCATATTAATGACTTTGTAATCTCAAATTCTTGTAAATTCTTGTAAATTTACGCCTTTTAAATTCTATTGCTTCTCTAAAGTCTGTTTTCCCCCCAAAAGCATTAATAATAAATAAATGAGTCTTGCAGCTTCTTTAAAAGTTTAAGACATCGTGGTTGACTTAGTTTTTAAACCTGCATCGAACGGCATGTTGCCCAGTTTTGAGGAAAAATACTGAATATTTACAAATAGCAAATATCTGATAGGTTGTAAAACTTAGATAAGAGAAGTCAGATAAGACTCTTATTGCATATTCATGGTTGGAAATCACATTGGTGAGCAACAATTAAAAAATAAACTGGTTTGACAAGCATCAGTTAAACAGTTGGTTCAGTTGGTAGGCAATAAAAAATACCCATGTATGATTCACAATATCAAATAAATTCAAAGCAGTTCTGTGAATGAATCCCCGTCACTGACATGAGGGTTTTACCTCCGAGTCAGAATCGTTGTTTTCACCAGGAAGGCCCATGTTGGCCATCAGAGTCTCTTTATCGATGGATTGGCCTCTCATGAACGGCAAGTCTCTCCTGTTGAAACAAGGTCGGAGAAGCCAAGTGTTTATCTCCTACATGTCTCACTACGCTACAAGCTACAATCCAAGACTTTCTTTAGAGCTTCATTCCAACCAAACCTTACAGCAGGTCAGTTTAATGCTTGGTTGACCTTATTTGACTCCAAGTGTCAACATGAAGTGACCTCCTGATGTGCACCAGATAACTCTCTAAATCACAGCCATAGTTACCTTTTTGTGAAAATGAAAGCTGCAGCCACCAGAGCAGCCACGAGGCAGACGACACCCAGGATCACACCCACATGGCTTCGTCTTTCCGCCTCCTGACAGAACTCTCCCTTGTAACCGGCCAGACAGTGGCAGCGAATCACTTTTCCTTCTGTGATGCAGCTGCCGTGGCCGTTGCAGTGTTTTTGACCACAGAGGGCCGGGTCTTTTTTAACCGCTTTCTTCAGGGTCGGAGAAGACCGTGGAGAGCCTCCATCACTGGCTTTGGTGCCAGAAGAAGCATCGTCTGAGCTTGGACCTGCAGACAAAACCAGTGGTAGTGATTCAGTCATGACTTGATAATCAGACACTAAATGTAAAACCTTCTTTTATGTCGGATAGCAAGGCTGTCAGATTGTCAAGACGGAGGTCCAGATACGAGGAGGGCTTGATGCTGGAAGGCTCATTAGTTGGTAATATTTATTGTTCATAGTTGTTATAATAACTCGTGTATTTCAGCCTGGATTTCAGCCTAACTGACCGGTGTGCTTGTGCACGGGCCCGTTGGTTGACATCGAGGGTAAGTAAGGCTACATTCAAACGGTGTTCTGGCCACTTCCACCCCGGGGCAGCGCTCTGACGGGGTGGAAGTGTCCAGAACACACAGGCAGTACTTGGCTGCTGATGCTAGTTTAGTTAGCGCTCACACTTCTGTTTCCTCCATCGGTGGCGGCGGGGGAGTGGCAGATACGCTCCACCGTTACCATCCATGTTTACTTCCATAAACACTGAGCACGCCAACTCAGTGGTAGTCGTAATGTATTTGAAACTGTGATATCATCAATTTAAAAAAAATGTTCTACAGAGTTTTGGTTTTTAAATCAGTTGACCGTTTCTGGTGTACTTCTACACGCTAGTCATGCCAAGTCACTAAAAAAGTGACTCAGGAAAAGATTAAACCAGTTTGTGTGCCCCTCTAGTGTGAGTAACGGTCACATATAGAAAATAATTTTGCTCCGTCACTCCTGAAAATGACCTTAAATGTGGGTTCTTAACTGAGGCGGTGAATGGAAGTCAGTGAATGGATTAAAATGAGATCATGATGTTCTCGTACCTACCACAGCTACTTTCACCAAACTGGGTAATTAAATCAATTCAAGTGGACTTAACAGTTCTGCACGATGCTGGTGATTCCAAGTGAATCCGTTACTTCAGGAGCAACTGAAATTTCTGGTTCTTGGGTCTGAGTCACGGCAAAGCTAAGATTACTTAATACCCCTTTTAAAACTCACAGTCCTGCTCATCCGACTGGTCCGGACAGTCCACGTGTCCGTCGCAGAACTTGCTGCTGCCGATGCACTTGCTGTTGTCGAAGCAGGACATTTCTCCGGCGGGGCAGGAAGGCACCGGGGTGCAGGAGGTGCCGTTGATGCTGTAGAAGCCCCGCCCACACGTACACGTCCGACCTCCGGGGAAAGGCAGGCACAGCTGGACACATCCGCCGTTGTTGCCGGAGCAGCTGTTGTTTCCTGGAGGAAACGGGTCGATGGAAATAACGGGTTTAAAGTCACTAAACGTTTGTCTCTGAGAAGACATTACAGCGCTTTTAATACATAATATAAAAGATTATTCCAGTTAAGGTGGAGTACGCGATTCTAATTTAATGCATTTTATTTGGTAAAATTCTGCAAATGTCCGTTCTGTGTTTGTGCTGGAAGAAATTCCAGCAGGACAAAGACAGACGGTAAATCTGAGCCTAACAAAACATGCAAACTGGCTGAAAATCAAACATCTGTCTCCACCTTTAACAAATTATCAATTAATCAATAAACAGCCTCAACAACATGTATTGAATGTAAACAGACTGAGCTTCATTTAGCAATGTGGGGATTCATTTATTTCTTTGTCCGTTTCTTTAAAATACTTTGCAGGTCTCATGCTTTTTAAATTCTCCTCAATATCTTCCACAATTGTTCTTCTTTCTGGAATTTATAGATTTAATAAACTATGTGTTTGCTTATACTTTTACATATAGTGTTGTATTGTAGGACCAAATAATAATCACATCAGGTCATTTTTTAGACCATCGTTTACTTTTCTAATAGCCATATTTGTGACATTACTTGTTGGTATGCAAAGTATGCAGAACACACAAGTCGTTTTTTTTTTTTTAAACTTTAACAGAAAAGTCTCACTTCAACACGTAGCCTCCAGTCAGCTGCTCTTATGACTTTGGTCCATCACAAATATCAGTACAGTACACATGTTGTCCAATATGAAAAGTGTTTAAAGAAAAAAAAAAAGTGTGGTATAATTTAGAAACGGTGCCCTGAAACTGTCTGCAGCACATATAGCAGAGTAAACAAATGAGTGGTGCAGACTGTTGTCGCGGTAACTTGCCAAACAGTTTATAATAATCCGTGGCTATAAACCTAATGACCTGATCGTTTTCAATATAACCTATATATACTAGTATATAACGAATACTGTAAATTTACCTTTACTGAAATTTCATACTCCCTAAAAAAATAAAATTGACATCCACCCAAAAATCTATTATCAGTTGGGCTTCTGTGCAAAGTCTGAACACAGAAAGCATTTATAGATTCCCAGTGTTTGTATGTTTGCTTTTGTGTCTGCCTGCATAAATCCAGTTCAGCTGAAACTGTGTTTGCAGCTTTTGACAGCTGATATAAAGATAAACTTTACTGATCCCACAGTGGGGAAAGTTCACCGTTACAACAGCTCCAAAAGAAAAAAAAGTGTCCAGTCAGTGCAAGAATAATTTAGAAACACCCAGTGCAAATTGTAGGAAGAGAAACAGAAACACACAGTGCAAAAACTGCAAGAGAAAAAAAAAACATCATGTACAGAAGATTTTTTTTCGAAGACTATATATACACAAGATGAGGTAGTAAATGGTTATTGCACGTAATGAAATGGGTTTGTTGGTGGAAACAAGTGCAGCAGTAACAGAAGTACCAGTGGAGTTTATAATGCAGCAGTGTGAAGTCTGACTGATGTCAGGATGAAGGACCTGCGGAAACGTTCTTACACTTTGGCTGAACGCACTGCTTAAGGACTTCACAGTCTGATGCAGAGGCTGGGAGGTGTTTCCTCTGACAGCAGACAGTCTGGCCAGTGCCCTCCTCTGTCCCACCACCTCAGTGGAGTCCAGGGGCAGCCACAGACTGATCTGGCTCTTTTTATCACACTCAGAGCACCCCCCTCCTTAGCACACCACTGATGCCACCACAATGTCAGAACGTCCACAGCACTAAAATATTCAACAGAAGACTGGCCTTTTTTGTTGTAAAGTTCACTTGCTTGTCTTCATTTCAACATTATTGGCTATGAAGCACGTTATAATGTTTGTTTATTAGCAACGTCATACTGTGTGTTATGAATATTTGCAATTGTGGTGCTTCCTGTTGACATATCAGACCATTTATAAGGAAAACAAAGACCCTCAGAGATAATCTTAGCCAGCATATTGTATATTCATGTGTCTTGTCATGAATTACCAAGAAAACATACTTTGCTTTAAAACTTTTTTCCCCCCATATGCATGTCCTGAGTGTCAGTGTGTGGCTGAATAAGGAGGAGTGTGTGTCACAGCTCCATTCATCGCTGCTCTTTCCCACTGCAGCCCACAGCAACAGACTGGGATCTCTCACAGCTTGCCAAGCCTCATCTCCCTGCGGCTATCGCATCGCTCTGCCATCTATTCAGCTATTCAGCTCAAACTGAGCCTAAGTGAGTCTTTTCATTCTGCCTGCAGTGTCCGATAACACGCTTCATCAGCGTCCTCCATTCAGGAAACAGAAGGGGAAAAAGTTGAGGTGAAAATATCGGCGTCCAGCTGGAGTAATCCCCGTTTTATGACTAACGGGCCGGTTTGGCTGTTTTACAAATTAAGCTGACGGTGTGCAGCAAGTCTGTTGGTCAGCGTTACAAACCTGGGCATGAATTAACGCATTATGTAGCATCATATAAAAGAGGATTTAGGCGCTGACAGGCCACTTTCACAATTTAAACGTAATCCAGCACGATGGCTGCAGGAATAACTGATGGGTAAATCACTTTAACAGTTAAAAATCAGCCCTGTGACTGATCTTCCCCTGCATCGTCACACATCTTAACTCCAATATCAACATAAAAGAGTCATGCGTCTTTAAATAGCAGTCACAAAGAAAGTACACATTTGTATTCCAGTAATAGGATATTCCTGGTTTGCAGCTGCAAGAATAAACATAGCATTAGCATAGCAGCTACTTGCTATTGGAGGATATAGTGGAGGAATGAAGTCATGCTCCGTGCGAGTGTGTTGCAATCTGAGCTTCTCTGTTCTTTGTTTTGGTGGCGAGTCAGGCCATGTAAGCATGTTAGTGCATGAATCCCTCCCCTTGGTCCTTCCTGCATTTATAAATGGACTGATGACAGATGATAGGTGTCGTCCTGCACGGAAGGTAAAAGCAGGATTGCAATGCATCTTTCTTTGAAAATGAAGATTTCTTTGTTTTACCAAATGTTCTGCACCACTTTTATTTCTGCTCAGTTTCTACTTTTGCAGCATCCATGTTCGTTTGTGGGTCCGTCTTCTGCTGCGTGTCAAGGACTCGCAGTGAACTGGGCCGAACTGGAGCAAAGTGTAGCGAAGGAGACGCCGACGAAGTGACGATAATGTTGTTCCAGTTGACAGTTTTTTTTTTCTGGTTGTAAATCAAAGTGACGGTATGAGGACAGCGTAGCTCACATGCTCGTCTGTTTTGGTCTGAGCTGCTGGTGCTCCGGTGGCCTCCAGTGGTTCTGAATGTCGTGTGCAGCATCTTTAACCCACTTTGACGATCTGGATTCACCCCGAACCTACTTCACCGACCTTTCTTGAAACTCAGATGAGCCGGTGCACAACATAAAATCCACAGACTGAGGATTCTAAAACAAAATCTCCCACAACTGTGTTCTGTCCTCTTTTGCATTTTGTGGTTTTAAGTGTTTTATTTTGCTTTATGTGATTTTATAGCATTTTTTTTTTACCTCTCTACTGGTCTCATTGTTTATCTGTGTACCTGCTCCCCTCCTTCTCAGATTCTTGTCATTCCAAGTCCAGTTTTTCTACATCCTCCATACCTCACCTCCCCTCTAGTGGCCATGAGCTCTTTTCCCAACAGTCAGCTTTAACATGCAGTGCATGAGGGAAGCTTTCAGAAAAAGAAAAAGTTGATTTCTGTGCTCCAATTCCTCTGTAGTCGTTTACATGACTCTGCACACACCAACAAGCAAATCCCTCTTCACTCCATCTGCTGTGTCGTTTCATCGTCATGCATTCTGTTGCCAGAACCACTTGGATTATCATGTCGTGTTTCTTGTAAATTATTTGTCACTCGCTCATCATTGAGCTCGTTTTCCCACCTACCAGTCTGGCTGTTGTTGCTGTATGCCCGGACCTCCGCCACGCTGGTCTTTGTCTCAAACCACAGCTGTTTGGGCTGGAGGCTGTCGCTGAACCACAGTTTGGTCACATCTACACACGACGAAATGCAAAAAGAAAAAATCATTAAAAAGAAGTTCTATACATTTAAAAACATTTGTTCAGTGCAACTGGGTAACAAGGCTGCTAAGAAAACATGTCATGTCCGTCCACCACTCAGACTGAATATCAAGATGTGATAGAAAGGAAACTGGGGATTAGAAATGGATTTTTAAATATCATTTAAACAGTGCAGATTAGTGAGAATGAGCCGACTGCATAATTAATTGTGAGAATAGTCTGTGATGCCATCTGCTGCCTGAAGGGATCAAAGACAAATGAAACCAAGGTGGGTGAAGGCCAGAGCTGCTCTGAACAATTAGTGGAGGGGAATAGAAAAAAAACACAACAAGCCCCAAGACTTCCCCCGAAGGAAAACCATTTCTCACCACCTTAAACACTCCTGGCTGCAATTCTTAGCATTAACAAAGTGAGGGGCCTCGGTGCAGGCTGCTTGTTTACCAATTTACCCAAAAGGGTTTCAGGATAAATGATGGCTTTAGTTTTTACTGTCAGAAAACAAAGTCTGCTCGGCTGTGACTCACCATCTCTGGAGCAGTTTGACATTTTTCTTTTTTTTATAGCAACATATTTGGCAGTAGGTGGAAGTATTTGTGTCCTTGCCTTTATCCAGGGTGACCCAGAAGAGGATGTTGGCAGTGTGAGTGAAGGAGACGAGCAACCCGGGCCCCGTCTTGTACTGTTTATACCCCGATCCATCCACTCCCATGGAGCTGATCACTCCCTCACCTGAGAGAAAGGAAATCAGACAGGTAAGCAAGTCGAGGAAAATGATCAAAGCTGGGTTGTGCAGGAGGTATTTTAGCATCTGCGTGTCCTCTTGGTTCTGTTTTGAAGCTTTGGGTAATCCATCACATCCCTTTTCAGAGCGAGGGCGTTCCTATTTACAAATGCAGATGTGCATGTCACTTTAGATGCTGGAAAACGTGATTCAAAAGCTGAAAATCTGGTTGGAAACAAGCTATTCCAGGCTGCAGGAAGCAACCCAAAAAAGGGAGAGTCTGACAATAAATGCAGCGAAATGTGATCATAGAACTGCACCTGCATCCAGTAATGACTACATCCAGAGCTCACTGTTCTTGTGTGTGAGATCTGTGAGTCCTCACCAGCGTCAGCCCAGTAGATCATGGTTCCATTGTTGGAAAACACCAGGGAGGTGGGGATGCTCGACTTCCTCCACAGCACCGCCTTGTTTCGGCCGTCCATCCAGGCGCAGTCCACTTCCGTTTGCCTCTTCCCGCCCGACAACACTATCGTCGTGTAGCAGAGTCGACCGGAGGGGGGGTGAAGCGCGATGGACGTGGTGCTCTGAGGAGACAAACGTGATCTGTGCTTTATCAGCAATGGAAGGAGCTCAAAGTAAAGTCAGGAGTGGAAAGAAAACACACGTCTATGCTGCTGTGTTGGCTTATTTTTATTACAATACTAAGAACGAGCAGAGTTTTAATTAAGCTGTCGTCTCAACTTACCATTTAAAGGTTTCAGAGAAAATCCAACCATGCTTTTAAAATATAGCAAAGCCATTTACCCGAACCAGTATTAGATTACTGCACGTTTAGTTTCATTAGCAGAGAACATCAGACTTTAACAGTAAATGCGTTCAAGGTCAGTTAAAGAGTGTGAATATAACTATTTGCTGATGTACTTTTTTATTTCCTAAACAGCTTTATAAGGAATCTTTGATCTTGATAAAAATGACAACTCAATGCTCATTTATTGTCTTTGCTTATTTATATTTTTGAGAAATTACATTAAACCCTCACAATGAGAGTTTCACTGCTTTTGGCTTTTAAATTATATTATTCTGACAATTTCAGCAGGACTTAGTCAAACATATTTGAGAAGAAAGGGAGAAAAAGACCACGTGAATGTCAGAAGTAAAGCCGATGATGGATGTGCAGAGGGAAGAGCTTCACCTTCAGCGATCCTTGCAGCAGCGAGGTGGTGTAGCCGTTGTAACGGGAGGTCACGTGGATGTCAGGCCTCTCGTTGCTGCTCCAGTAGAGGTTGGAGGTGACCCAGTCAACTGCCAGAGCCGTGATCGAGTCATCCGGCTGCAACGGAGAAAGTTCTGAATTAAAAGTTTCACCAGGGAGCGACCTTTTTTACTGCAGAGCTGCTGGGTTGCAGGTAATTAAGAGCTGTAGGTTGTCCAACACACTGTGTTTTCATCAGCGCTGATCAGTAGTGATTATCAAAGTCACACGTTTTTTTTGAACGCTGGATTAAAAGTGGCCCATATTTGACTGTACAGAGGGAAAATTAAACTTTGATAGTTAAAGAAACCTGGAAATGCTGACGGCCGAGAAACACAGCATGTAAAGCTGCATCAGAAACTTTAATTAATGACAGGCTGCCAACATCATGACTGAAACATACTGAACAAAGTTATGTGCACTGTAAGCAAACCTTCACTAAAGGACTTAAAGGTGCAATATGTAAGATTTTGAACATTAATAGAAAAACAAAGTGGAAAGATAAAGTTCTGGTTAAAAATAAAATGTGAGGGGAGAGGGGATGTGTTGGTGTTCTAGCGACATCCAGTGGTTCAAAACGTCCCATACAGCACCTTTAAGATCGTAACGTTTCCTTTGAACAGGACACATACCTTCAGTTTCAGGACTTGTCCAGCAGGTGTGAGTCCCTGTCTGGACCTGGAGCTGCCCATTCTCAGCACCTCCACAGATCCTGGTCTTAAATAAGCCACGTACAGAGAAAGATCCTTGATGGAAACATCCAGCCCCAAGGCCTCATTAGCTCCAGGGAGGCTCAAAGCTCTGCTGTTTGGCATTTTCTTCAGGGCGACGCCATCGCGACGCATGGAGCGCAAGTAGATCTACAGGGAGCGGTGAGGTGGGATTTAAAAATGAAATGAGCAGATGTATTAGTTCATTCACTTCCAACCAGAAAGGTCTACGTTCCTGTTTGAGCCCATTCACCTGATAGACCGTCTTTTGGGACAAGAGCAGGATGAAAGACGACTCCCGAGGCAGAGAGCAGGTGATGCCGTCTTTGGAGAGCAGCAGCCCCTTTGGGCATCGACAAACTGCATTCGGCCCCCTTCCTGCTGGAGACCCTGGGACTACAGACCTGCCTTTTCCGGCTGGTGCCAACAGACAGAGATGGGTGCACTGTAGATGGTCACAGGGGCTGGAGACGGCCGGCTGGGAGAGGACATGCATCAGCTGGGGAGAAGAAACGTCAGTTACGATCAGTGTCTTGTTCAAAACTTCATTTAGGTTTGTCTGTACGAGACTGTAACTGTAGGTTGTTCTCCTGAAATGCTGCTGTGCTCGAAGTACAAACCAACCACAACATCAGAAGGCAAAGACCTACTTTCAGTCCAAACGGCTGCCCGGGTCTCTTCAGGAGGACTTTCTGATCTTTCCCAGTGTTCTTGTCAGCCGAGCGGATGGTTCTTCTCTTGGTGTCAGACCAGAAAAGACGATCGTTGAAGATTGCCACTGAGAAAGGGCTTGGCGTTTCAGCTAGCTGGAGGATCTGATAACAGAAGAAAACCATCACTAACAATAACGGATGACTGGGAGGCAACCCGTCTACGACACACTGAGAAGATTAACTTCGTGTGAATGTGAAGTGAATGTTCCTCTAAAAGGTGGCAGACTCCACTGCGTTTCCTCACCCCTAAACTTTAAATCTTTGGAACTCACTTGCTTTGTGGTTCAACCTTCCTTCGTGCATCCTTTTACCTTGACGTTGTCTCCATCCAGAGAGGCCGAGCCAATGCAGCGCATCTTCTCGTCGGCCCAGTACACCCTGTTATCCAGGAGGTCGTAGGTCAAACTGACCGGCCAGCTCAAGTTGCGGCTCACCACCACCTTCCTCTTTGAACCGTCCATCCCGGAGCGCCTGATCTGAGGGGTGCTGCCGATCTCAGACCACAGCATCAACCTGAGAACATGCAAAAAATGCAATGAAGATAGATTTAGTCCAGGCTTCTTCTGGTACAACATCTTTCTCACACTTTCTTTGTTAGATCTCTATCTTTAGCCTTGTTATGCTTTTGTTTTTCTCGTCTTGTTTCTTCTGTGCTTCAGTTATATTTAGCTGCTGTAACATGCACATTTTCCTGGTGAGGGATCAATCATATTTAACTTAACTTTCTCCTCAGGTTATTCTAGCCAGCCTGAGATCTTTACCCTTTGTGTGGCAGCAGGACCAGTGAGCTGGGCTGCTCCAGATCTTCACCCAGGACCACCGTGTAGTCCTGAGATCTCAGCGTGGCGTTGTTGAGCTTCACTGCCAGAATCTGACCAACCAGGCCGTCCACCCAGTACAGATTCTTACCAACCCAGTCCACTGCAATGAAGTCTGACTTCACGCCTATAAAAGATTAATTGGAACACATATACACAGTTAATGTTTTGAAGCTGTCTAAGTAAGGAACATGCAGATCATTTCCATTAGTTTCTTGTTTTCTTTACAGCTTAATCACCATTTTTAAAATACCACAAAAGGTCACAAAAGATCATCCACTCTCAACAGCTTATTACACAACTGTAGAACTCCTCAGATACCTTTGATCAGGGTCCCTTTGTTTGAGTTATTCACGTCAGCCCAGCGGATGCTCTGGTAGTCGGGGCTCAGCCAGTAAACTCTCTGCTGAGCCCAGTGATAATCCAGGGAGAAGACCGGCCGGCTGACGGATGTGAGGAGACGCAAAGTTCCGCTGTGGACGCCCAGAAGCAGCAGCTCTGACTGCACCGACGCCAGAAGCAAAGGCTCGTCTGGAGACAGAAACATGACAGATAAGTTTTTATGCGTCTTTGACAGAGTGAGAAACAGACCGATGCAAAACAAAAAGATTTTGGAAAAGATTTCTCAAGAGTTTGTGAAGTTTCCTGTGTCAGAAGTTTACGTTCACGTAGTCTGAGAAGCACAAACTAATGTCAAAGTTGTAGCTCATTAGTTTGACAAGACTAGAGAAGTTAATAAAGATACCAGTTGTGCTACTGATCAGCAATGAGGCTTTTGTTTCATGACAAAAAATACATTCCAATGCATCTCTAATAGTTAGAATATCTTAAAAAAAAAAGTTTGTTTTTTTCACAGTTAAAAAGGAAATCTTTCATATGTTCTATATTCACTGCATGTCAAGTGAAATATTTCAAGCCTTTTTTGTTTAAATTGGTATGAATGTGGCTTATTGCTTATTATAAATCTGAAATGCAAAATTTAGTTTCATCTGAAAACAGGAACACTAACCAACAGTCCAGTTCTTTTTCTCTTTAGCCAACATAAGCTGCTCCTTATGTTGTCTCTGGCTCAGGACTGGCTTGATATTAGAAATGCTTTTTGTTATCTAACTACATGATATTCACACACTGATTGAAGTACGACGTCAGCAGCTGTTGGATTTAGTCCATGCTAATATGCTAATACTGTAAACTTCTAACTTGATGTAGCCCATCACAGGGAACATTTTTCTGGCTTAATTATTTGGTAACATGCTGAGCCAAGAGTTTACAGCCGCCTGCCACTGTGCATTGAATTCCCACTGAGAGCACATCTTAATTTTACCCCCCAGACAAGCAGAGTCTAGTCCAACGGCACCTTTTGTCTTGCAGCTTTTGTTGTCGGGCTCCAGGTAGAACCCAGGGTGGCAGCGACAGCTGTAGGACCCGCGGGTGTTCAGACAAGTGTGTTTGCATACAGACTGTGGCGCCGAATTGCACTCGTCAATGTCCACGCAGGACAAAGTGTTGGACTGGAGTCTGAAACCCGCAGCACAGTAGCACCTCTGGAAAAACGAGCGAGGAAGACATGTTCAAGTCGAGTGTACATCAGACTGTTCTGTGCATGTTTTAGAAGCTTTGAAGTCGCCTTGCTTATGATATTAAGAAAAATGCCAAATAAGTTTATGAGAAGAGTTTTAAAAAGGAAAATCAGGAGGTAAACATCAGCTCTGCACTGACCGGTCCATTTGGGGTGCTGACACAGCGGTGGTCGCACCGGGGAGCCGGCTGACTGGAGCAGTTGCGTTGAGCACATCCGACGCCTTCATCTGAGCCGTCGGCACAGTTGATGAACCGGTTACACACCAGATGGGGGCCGATGCACTCGCCGCTGCCACACTGGAAAAGGTGAGTCGGGCATTTTCTCTGGCTGCCTGTGAAAGCAGATGGACAGATTTAAGCTAAAATGAATTTGTTGGAAAGCGGCTTTCTTCTCTTGTGCATATTTTTTAACACTCAACAACAACCAGGTTTTGTCAAACAAGTCCTTGTTCAAACAGAATACACATCAGTATGCAAAACTTTGGTTATTTCTGTGCAGAACTGGCATGTTGACGAAGGTAAACGAGACGGCAGAAATGATGAAATTATGCAGCCCACCCTTGTATAACTAATCCTATCCAAACATTGCACTCATTTATGGAAGACAACACAAGTGTTTGAGCAGAGAATGAGCTGTTTTCTTAAACAAGTGCTTTAGGGATGTTATCTGTCATTTCTGGCCACGAAACTTTAGTAGTTTAATTTCAAAATCCACAATTTAAAAGTAATTTTTCATTTTACAGGTCAGAAACACAGATACAACATTTATAAAGGGACTCGATTTTCCTTCTTGCCTTTCTAATAAAACAGAAAATAGCTTTTATTATTAAACATATATTCTACCTGCAATATAGCGTGCTGCTATTAATACTGAAATAAACATCATCCATCTCCCTGACTCTCCTTGCCGCCCTCCACGCCTCTGTGGTGCTAAAAGATGCATAGAAGTGTCTGCTTCTCAACTGCTTTCTTGTTCCTATTATTAATATTCTTAATAATAGGAACAGTGTTGAGTAACAGCAAAATAAGGTGCTTTATAAATGGGAGTGAGCCCTGCCTGGGAGCTACGTTGCTGTGCAGTGGTGAATATATATAAACATAAATCCTCTCACATTTGTCCTCGTCCCTGCCGTTGAAACAGTCCTTCTTCCCGTCACACCTCCAGGACAGAGGAATGCACTGACTGCCGTCTCCACACTGCCACTGGTATTCTCTGCACTTCACTGGAGGAGTGTTGCAGTTCTGGACACAAACTGGTGCCGTTACATTATGCTTTCGGACAAAGCATCCCTTTAATTCCCGCCTTAAAGATGTACTTCCCTTCACTGTTTCCTCACCTTCTCATCTGACCCATCTTTGCAGTCTTCCTCGCCGTCGCAGAGCCACTCTTTCTGCAGGCACTCGTGGCTGTGCGGGCATCGGAGCTGCGTCGGGCAGCGAGGCGGTCTCTGGCAGTCCACCTCATCAGAGCGGTCGCTGCAGTCCACGTATCCGTCACATCTCAGACCCTCTGACACGCACTGGCCGTTGGCACAGCGGTACTGGTGGGCTGCACAGGTCACCAAACCTGGAAACGAGGATGTCATGTGACGTAAACTTGCTGTATTGATCGAATTTGCTTCACGAACTGATGCTGAAAGTCACCCACCACACTTCTGTTCATCTGACCCATCAGTACAGTCTCTCTCTCCGTCGCACAGGAAGGTTTCTGGTATGCAGCGAGTTTTGTTGTCGCAGAGGTGATGGCAGCCGTCGAGCTGCTTCGAGCAGTCCATTTCGTCGGATCGGTCCTGGCAGTCGTAGTGTCCGTCGCACACTCGCTCTTGTGGGACGCATTTCTTACCGTGGGAACACTGGAACTGACCTGTGGAGGAGAAAAGAGACCTCAGCGATGCTAACAAAGCTTAGTTTCTTCCCCCCACAGCTCCAACTTTGATAAACCAGATCATTAATGTTTCTCCACAACACTTTCGCCATCTCGCTTTCAAACTTTTTCCCTCCAAAACAAACCTGCTTTGCACTGAGTAGCACATCCCTCTTCGTCTGACCCGTCCTGGCAGTCCTTCTCTCCGTCACACAAATGGCTGTACATGACACAATCCAGGCCGTCTTTACAAAGCTTGAAGCCTCTGCGGCACTTCAGAGGGGTTGATCTGAGCGCACTGTCGGGGGCTTGGCAGAGAGAAAATAATGCATCAAATAGGAAGCATCTGGCTTTCTTTTTCAGAACTGGGCAAAGAAGGCGTCACCTGAGTGATTATTTTCTCTGGTTAGTGTTGCTAAAGTGCAGCCAAATTAGTGGTAGCATGCTGCTGGTTAATGGGTTGGATGTTGTTAGTTGGTCATTGTTGGATAAAGTTAAGTCAAGTTTGAGACGTAGTAGTGTGTCTGTACAGTAAGAACTACGACTGTGATGAAAAGGATCAATCAAGTGGTTTCTTGTACTTTATCCACTCCATGCACATATCACTGTGAGGTTATCTTCTTGGTCTTGGCTTACATGCGGCAGTAGAAGCCGCTGTTTGACACTGCTTCTCATCGGAGCTGTCGGCACAGTGGACGCGACCGTCGCACACTTCCATCCTGGAGATGCACTTGCTCCGGTCGCTGCACAAGAAGTCGTCTGATGGAGAGAAAGCATGGAGGAGTCAACATGCCCGTGGAGGGATTATCTACCCTGGAACTCAGATTGAAGCATTTTCTTTGAAACTCTCCCACAGTGAACCCACTCCTCCATTAGCTTCCTGTATAAGTACACTGCTGCTGCTTTGTGGTAATTTCTGCACTCACCTGGGTTTCCACACTGGACCACACAGTTGTTTTCATCAAACCCATCAGGACAGTCTTTTACTCCATCACACAGCCGATGTTGAGCGATGCACAGCGATGAACCTGGACAGAGAACTGAAGGACTGACGCAAGCTGAAGGGCGAACAGGAGACGGTGGTGCAGCAACAACAGCATCTGGAGGAGAGGAAACCAAGTGTTCAACCGATGAAAAGCTATTGACTGGTTTCAAGCTATTAGAGCATCACAAAAACCAACATGTCTATTAAAAATTAGGTTAACATTTATTAGTACCAAACTGGTTTCATTGGGTTGTGAATGATAATCTCATCTTGGGCTCACCTGAACGTCTTAAA